AGCAGAGCAGGAAGTCGGCCAGTGCCAAGAACAGAGCAACACGGCAGTTGGAAGTGGGAGACATGGTAATGGCACGTGATTACCGAGGAAATCTAAAGTGGAGATCGGGAAAGGTCATTGAAAGGATCGGCCCTTTGATGTATAAGATCGAAGTGACATCGGGCGTAATCTGGCGCAGACATATTGACCAACTGCTGCCAACCGAAGTTAAACTAAGCACAATACAGGACAGGGAGCAAACTGCGAATATGGGAGTAGTGCAGCCGGAAGTGATATCCAGTTCAAGTGAACAGACGTTGCCAATAGTAGCAGCAGACTTGCAAGTGCAACAAGGCTCCAGCACCCACGAACTTGTAAATGAGAGCACTACAGAGACATCAATGCCTTTGGCGACAACGAGCGAACGAAGATATCCAGAAAGAGTGAGGAAACCACCTGTGAGACTTGATCTCTAAAGTAGCAGCGTTACGGACAGATGTAGGGGTTAGAACGTATATTTACAGTATATAGATATACAGCAAAGACTGTTAATTATGACTTTAATGTTAATGTTATGTGCAGCAAAGACTGGATACTGACTGAACAATTTTTAGTAGGGAGGAGATGTTATGGGTTACCTATGTTATTAGGATGCGCGCGCATCCACCATGTGTTCGGGATGAGTGCTTCTTGTTGAGTTATACACAAAATATAATATAGCTATCTAATAGAAAGCAAATACACAACAGTCCCCACAAGTCAGGGAATATAAATACATCAACATACACAAACACAATGTCCCCATAAGTCTAGTGAGTAATCACATTCATGTCCCCACAAGTCAGGAAATATAAATACATCAATATACACAAATCTAATGTCCCCATAAGTCTAGTGTGTAATCACATTCATGCCGCCACAAGCCAGGGAATGTAAATACATCAATATACACAAATATAATGTCCCAATAAGTCTAGTGTGTAATGACATTCATGTCCCCACAAGTAAGGGAATGTAAATACATCAACATACACAAATATAATGTCCCCATAAGTCGAGTGTGTAATCACATTCATGTCCCCACAAGTCAGGATATGTAAATACCTCAAAATACACAAATATAATGTCCCCATAAGTCTAGTGTGTAATCACATTCATGTCCCCACAAGTCAGGGAATATAAATACCTCAAAATACAAAAATATAATGTCACCATAAGTCTAGTGTGTAATCACATTCATATCCCACAAGTCAGGGAATGTAAATACATCAATATACACACATACATATAATGTCCCCATAAGTCCAGGTGTGTAATCACATTCATGTCCCCACAAGTCAGGGAATGTAAATACATCAATATACACAAATATAATGTCCCCATAAGTCTAGTGTGTAATCACATTCATGTCCCCACAGATCAGGGAATGTAAATATATCAATATACACAGATATAATGTCCCGATAAGTCCAGTGTGTAATGACATTCATGTCCCCACAAGTCAGGGAATATAAATACATCAACATACACAAACACAATGTCCCCATAAGTCTAGTGAGTAATCACATTCATGTCCCCACAAGTCAGGGAATATAAATACATCAATATACACACATACATATAATGTCCCTATAAGTCCAGGTGTGTAATCACATTCATGTCCCCACAAGTCAGGGAATATAAATACATCAACATACACAAACACAATGTCCCCATAAGTCTAGTGAGTAATCACATTCATGTTCCCACAAGTCAGGGAATATAAATACATCAATATACACAAATCTAATGTCCCATAAGTCTAGTGTGTAATCACATTCATGTCCCCACAAATCAGGGAATGTAAATACATCAATATACACAGATATAATGTCCCGATAAGTACAGTGTGTAATGACATTCATGTCCGCACAAGTCAGGGAATATAAATACATCAATATACACAAACACAATGTCCCCATAAGTCTAGTGAGTAATCACATTCATGTCCCCACAAGTCAGGGAATATAAATACATCAATATACACAAATATAATGTCCCCATAAGTCTAGTGTGTAATCACATTCATGTCCCCACAGATCAGGGAATGTAAATATATCAATATACACAGATATAATGTCCTGATAAGTCCAGTGTGTAATGACATTCATGTCCCCACAAGTCAGGGAATATAAATACATCAATATACAGAAACACAATGTCGCGATAAGTCTAGTGAGTAATCACATTCATGTCCCCACAAGTCAGGGAATATAAATACATCAATATACACAAATATAATGTCCCCATAAGTCTAGTGTGTAATCACATTCATGTCGCCACAAGCCAGGGAATGTAAATACATCAATATACACAAATATAATGTCCCAATAAGTCTAGTGTGTAATCACATTCATGTCGCCACAAGTCAGGGAATGTAAATACATCAACATACACAAATATAATGTCGCCATAAGTCGAGTGTGTAATCACATTCATGTCCGCACAAGTCAGGATATGTAAATACCTCAAAATACACAAATATAATGTCCCCATAAGTCTAGTGTGTAATCACATTCATGTCCCCACATGTTAGGGAATGTAAATACCTCAAAATACAAAAAATATAATGTCCCCATAAGTCTAGTGTGTAATCACATTCATGTCCCCACAAGTCAGAGAATATAAATACATCAATATACACACATACATATAATGTCCCCATAAGTCCAGGTGTGTAATCACATTCATGTCCCCACAAGTCAGGGAATTTAAATACATCAATATACACAAATATAATGTCCCCATAAGTCTAGTGAGTAATCACATTCATGTCCCCACAAGTCAGGGAATATAAATACATCAACATACACAAACACAATGTCCCCATAAGTCTAGTGAGTAATCACATTCATGTCCCCACAAGTCAGGGAATATAAATACATCAACATACACAAACACAATGTCCCCATAAGACTAGTGAGTAATCACATTCATGTCCCCACAAGTCAGGGAATATAAATACATCAATATACACAAATCTAATGTCCCCATAAGTCTAGTGTGTAATCACATTCATGTCGCCACAAGTCAGGGAATGTAAATACATCAACATACACAAATATAATGTCCCCATAAGTCGTGTGTGTAATCACATTCATGTCCCCACAAGTCAGGATATGTAAATACCTCAAAATACACAAATATAATGTCCCATAAGTCTGGTGTGTAATCACGTTCAAGTCCCCACAAGTCAGGGAATATAAATACCTCAAAATACAAAAATATAATGTCCCCATAAGTCTAGTGTGGAATCACATTCATGTCCCCACAAGTCAGGGAATGTAAATACATCAATATACACAAATATTATGTCCCCTTAAGTCTAGTGTGTAATCACATTCATGTCCCAACAAATCAGGGAATGTAAATACATCAATATACACAGATATAATGTCCCGATAAGTCCAGTGTGTAATGACATTCATGTCCACACATGTAAGGGAATATAAATACATCAATATACACAAACACAATGTCCCCATAAGTCTAGTGAGTAATCACATTCATGTCCCCACAAGTCAGGGAATATAAATACATCAACATACACAAACACAATGTCCCCATAAGTCTAGTGAGAATAATCACATTCATGTCCCCACAAGTCATGGAATATAAATACATCAATATACACAAATCTAATGTCCCCATAAGTCTAGTGTGTAATCACATTCATGTCGCCACAAGCCAGGGAATGTAAATACATCAATATACACAAATATAATGTCCCAATAAGTCTAGTGTGTAGTCACATTCATGTCGCCACAAGTCAGCTAGGGAATGTAAATACATCAACATACACAAATATAATGTCCCCATAAGTCGAGTGTGTAATCACATTCATGTCCCCACAAGTCAGGATATGTAAATACCTCAAAATACACAAATATAATGTCCCCATAAGTCTAGTGTGTAATCACATTCATGTCCCCACATGTCAGGGAATGTAAATACCTCAAAATACACACATACATATAATGTGCCCATAAGTCCAGGTGTGTAATCACATTCATGTCCCCACAAGTCAGGGAATGTAAATACATCAATATACACACATACATATAATGTCCCCATAAGTCCAGGTGTGTAATCACATTCATGTCCCCACAAGTCAGGGAATGTAAATATATCAATATACACAGATATAATGTCCCGATAAGTCCAGTGTGTAATGACATTCATGTCCCCACAAGTCAGGGAATATAAATACATCAATATACACAAACACAATGTCCCGATAAGTCTAGTGAGTAATCACATTCATGTCCCCACAAGTAAGGGAATATAAATACATCAATATACACAAATATAATGTCCCCATAAGTCTAGTGAGTAATCACATTCATGTCCCCACAAGTCAGGGAATATAAATACATCAACATACACAAACACAATGTCCCCATAAGTCTAGTGAGCAATCACATTCATGTCCCCACAAGTCAGGGAATATAAATACATCAATATACACAAATATAATGTCCCCATAAGTCTAGTGTGTAATCAAATTCATGTCGCCACAAGCCAGGGAATGTAAATACATCAATATACACAAATATAATGTCCCAATAAGTCTAGTGTGTAATCACATTCATGTCGCCACAAGTCAGGGAATATAAATACATCAATCTACACAAATATAATGTCCCCATAAGTCTAGTGCGTAATCAAATTCATGTCGCCACAAGCCAGGGAATGTAAATACATCAATATACACAAATATAATGTCCCCATAAGTCTAGTGTGTAATCACATTCATGTCTCCCCAAGCCAGGGAATGTAAGTACATCAATCTACACAAATATAATGTCCCCATAAGTCTAGTGCGTAATCACATTGATGTCCCCACAAGTCAGGGAATGTAAATACATCAATATACACAAATATAATGTCCCCATAATTCTAGTGTGTAATCACACTCATGTCCCACGTCACAAGTCAGGGAATGTGAATACATCAATATACACAAATATAATGTCCCCATAAGTCTAGTGTGTAATCACATTCATGTCCCCACAAGCCAGGGAATGTGAGTACATCAATATACACAAATATAATGTCCCCATAAGTCTAGTGTGTAATCACATTCATGTCCCCAGAAGTCAGGGAATGTAAATACATCAATAAACACAAATATAATGTCCCCATAAGTCTAGTGTGTAATCACATTCATGTCCCCACAAGTCAGGGAATATAAATACATCAATATGCAGAAATATAATGTCCCCATAAATCTAGTGTGTAATCACATTCATGTCCCCACCAGTCAGGGAATGTAAATACATCAATATACACAAATATAATGTCCCCATAAGTCTAGTGTGTAATCACATTCATGTCTCCGCAAGCCAGGGAATGTGAGTACATCAATATACACAAATATAATGTCCCCATAAGTCTAGTGTGTAATCACATTCATGTCCCCAGAAGTCAGGGAATG